TAGGCATGGAGTCTTGTGGCATCCATGAGACCACTTTCAACTCGATCATGAAGTGTGATGTAGACATCAGGAAGGACCTGTATGCCAACACAGTATTGTCTGGTGGTACCACGATGTACCCTGGAATTGCTGACAGGATGCAGAAGGAAATCACAGCCCTGGCACCTAGCACGATGAAGATCAAGGTAAGAAATGTTCTGTGCTCCCACCATGGATGGAGGCGCTGGTCCCTGGGGGTGGTGTGAGGCAGCAGGACAGCCCTGGACAGCCCTGACTGCTCCTCTTCTCTTGCAGATCATTGCCCCACCTGAGCGCAAATACTCAGTCTGGATCGGTGGGTCCATCCTGGCGTCTCTATCCACCTTCCAGCAGATGTGGATCAGCAAGCAGGAATATGATGAGTCCGGCCCATCCATTGTCCACCGTAAATGCTTCTAAACGGACTGCTGGCAGGTGCCTGCACCTGCTGCATGGGTTGTTTCACTAGTATACGTTTGCCCAGGCAAATCGATACACCTCATGCTAGCCTCATAAAACTGGAATAAGCCTTCTTTCAAAAGAAAACTTGCCCTTGGAAAGTCTGTATCTGATGTTAGACAAATGTCAGCACTGGATTGTTGAGCTGTCACTTGATTTGACCTTGTATTCAAGTTAACTGTCCCTCAGTGTCCACCTTAGCGCAGTACCCTGTACACATCTGGCCCGGGCCTTGGGCAGGGGCCTTGCTGCGGGGACGTCCTTGCTAAGGTTGATTTGTGCTTGCGGGGAGCCCAGCTCGCTCTCCTGACAGGGACACTGCTCCCAGGGTGCCCGCACTGGGGCACGAGGCAGATCTGTACAGGGTATTTGGAGTCAGACTTCCAGTACATTCAGTGTGGAGTATTCCAGATTTCGTGTAGAGGCTGGTAGGAGTCCATCAAGAATTCACTTCTGTTGCTGCCGTTCTAGCAAGGTTGGGAAACATATCACATCCAAGCCTTATGAACCAGTCTTCATTTTCCTCCCCACCTCTATCCTGGTAAAAACATCATGGGGCTGAAGTTCCTCAACTTGAGTTGCAGAAACTTTGCATTTACACCTGTAAATTTATGCATCAAGTTTAATTTATGTAAGATTTTTGTACGTTGCCTTAATGTTCTCACATGACAGTAGGAAACCAAAATTTGTAAGTCATCCTAAAGTTGAGAAATTGTAATGCCCAACAACACATCATTGTGTAAGGAAAATAAAAAAGCGCTGCAGTTAAAAATTCACTGGAGTGTCTGTTCCTTGGGGATGGGGCTGGGAGGAGGGAGCTGCCTTCCCTGGGCTCATGTGGCTCTGAGCCATCGCTGGGATCAGAGCTTCCTGCTCCTGTTTCCAGGAAAGCTGCCTGGTAAGTCCTGGCACTTCAAAGCTTGCCCAAGCCCTGCTTGTTGAGTTTAAAAATAGCAGTTCCCTTGCCAGGGTGCTGGAGGGGCTGTGCTGGGTGCCCTCTGCCCCTGCACTCACCTCCTGCCTGCCTAATTCCCTAATCCCGGCTTCTCCCTGGCTTTCTCTAAGCCTGGCAGCGGTTTCTCCCTGCCAAGGACAGAGCGGCAGCGCTGCGGGAAGCTGCGTTGGGGCATTTCCCTGGGTGGCAGCTCCCTGATGGCCGTCCTTGCTCCTGCGGGGACACAGAGACCCTCTCGTTACCGGCACCGTGCTGGGCCGTGCGCCACATCGCGGAGCAGCGGGCAGCCCCTTGGCCGGGTTGAGGTGCTGGGGCAGTCCTTGTGATCCCAGGGTCCTTATCCCTGCGGAAAAGGAGGCTCTGCAGCTGGGGCATTTCCCTGGGTGGCAGCTCCCTGATGGCCGTCCTTGCTCCTGCGGGGACACAGAGACCCTCTCGTTACCGGCACCGTGCTGGGCCGTGCGCCACATCGCGGAGCAGCGGGCAGCCCCTTGGCCGGGTTGAGGTGCTGGGGCAGTCCTTGTGATCCCAGGGTCCTTATCCCTGCGGAAAAGGAGGCTCTGCAGCTGGTGGCCACATGGGGCCCCGAGAGGAAAAGCAGCCCCAAGGGCCACCCTGGGGCTGGCCAAGGGGAACGGGAGGGCCC